TCTCCTCGCTTATTGATTGCGTTGGTTGCTGGCTGCGAAAATATATTATGTCTGCTCGCCGCGCTGCTCTCGTCAGAGGCTAAGGTAAGGTGGACCGAAATAGGCTATCAGTTTGTGAATGGCGGAGACCGTGTCTCCATGATTTATAGCTGTATGACTCGCATCGCGGTTCATGAAGAGTTCACCAGCTTTAAGCTTCCTTCCACGCAGCGACTCTCTCTCTCTGCCTCTCTCTCTCTCTCTCTGCCTCTCTCTCTCCTTCTTCTTCCACCCCTCCTTCCCTCCCCTTCCTTCTACCCCCTTTCCCCCCTCTTTTTTTGCTATCCTCACCCCTCTCTTTTCCTCCTCTTTCCCTTTTGCCTTTAGCTTTCTTCCTTCCTTCGTTTTCCTTTGCTGGGTTCCACATTTCAGCCTCCTTTTGACGTGGTTGCCTTGCAGGAAGGGGAAAGCTTGGAATGTGGGGACAGTAGTGGGGTGTTGTTGTGAACCCCACTCTTTGGCTTCTATTATTATTAGTATTATTAATATTAGCATTATTATTAGTATTATTATTATTAGTAGTATTATTATTAGTATTTCCCGCCACCACCACCACCATTTTAGGCCTACTATAATATTAGCATTATTATTATTAGCATTATTATTAATGTTATTGGTATTATTAGTATTTTCCAGCCACCACCATCATCATTTTAGGCCTATTATGGGGAAATAATGTCTCTATCCTTTGCCACTAATCCACTCCAAATTCCAATGTTGACATTTTGAGAAGTCTCATCCCCAACATGGAGGTGAAAGGGAAGGAAAGCACTGCTTTGGCTGTGTTTTGCCTCAGATATTAGCATTATTAGCATTATTATTATTTTATTATTGGTATTATTATTATTTTCCAGCCACCACCATCATCATTTTAGGCCTACTATGGGGAAATAATGTCTCTATCCTTTGCCACTAATCCACTCCAAATTCCAATGTTGACATTTTGAGAAGTCTCACCCCCAACATGGAGGTGAAAGGGAAGGAAAGCACCGCTTGGCTGTGTTTTGCCTCCGATATTATTATTATTATTATTATTATTATTATTATTATTATTATTATTATTATTGGTATTATTATTATTATTGGTATTATTAGTGTTATTATTATTTTTCAGCCACCACCACCATCACTTTAGGCCTACTATGGGGAAATAATGCCTCTAGCTTTTGCCATTAACCCATTCCCAATTCCAATGTTGACATTTTGAGAAGTCTCATCCCCAACATGGAGGTGAAAGGGAAGGAAAGCACCGCTTTGGCTGTGTTTTGCCTCCGATATTAACATTATTTGCATCATTATTAATATTATTGGTATTATTAGTAGTTTCCAGCCACCACCATCATCATTTTAGGCCCACTATGGGGAAATAATGTCTCTATCCTTTGCCACTAATCCACTCCAAATTCCAATGTTGACATTTTGAGAAGTCTCACCCCCAACATGGAGGTGAAAGGGAAGGAAAGCACCGCTTGGCTGTGTTTTGCCTCCGATTCGATCTTGTCCCAAACCCTTGATCCGCTTTCCTGGCTCTTCGATTCGGATCGAAAACAGAACCCAAGCCATCGCTTCTCTTCCCAAAGTTCCCAAGGAGAGGACAGTGTTTGTTATGAAGCCGGATTCAAAAAGAAAAAGAAGAAAAAGACAGACGATAAAAAACAACAACAACAACTTCTGAACCGGGGATAATATTTCAAGGACTAATTATAAATGCTATTTCTGATTTATTTTATTCTGAAGGAGATTTCGGAGGTGGCTGTGCGTGGGTATTTTTTCCCCCCTAAACCACCACAGCAACAATTCCTTGGAGTAAATCATTTACGATCCCTCCCGTCTTCGACTAAGATAAATGACCGACATTTGGGACGCGTTGAAAGACGAGATACAAAAGGGGACTCCGGTCTTGGCTACTGAACAACATACAAAACCACTTTGGATTCCTTTTTGAGAGGAACAGAGAGCGGATTAATTTTTAATGTCCTGCTTAATTTTTTAAAAAATCATTTGCGGCCTACTTCTCAGGCTCTCTGGAGCTCCCAGAAAACCGAAAACAAACCAGCAAGGCCTAGTAAAAATCTCCTGATGGCTGAACTCCCCAATAAATTAATGCTCTACCTAGTCTTTCATAATGAAATGAATGATCATTTCTGCTTCTTTTTTATCTGTTCATTGCCGTGAAAACACTAGACGGTTTATGTCTGCTTAAAAAAGGCTTCTTTGGAAGCGAATATAAACCAGAGAGACTATCATTCTCTGCAGTTAATACCCAGGAAATATTTTAACTGCCTGCTGCTAGTAAACAATGGTTATTACTAACTCGTGGAAGAGATAGAAAATGGTGTGTTTTTTTTACAGAATCAATAGAAGCACGAATTAAAGCAGAGGTAGAATGGGCTCTGAGGTCTGGATTTGTTTTATTTTCTTATTTTGGGTTGGAAATGCTGAGAGATGGAAACATCTTGGAAAATTATGTTCCTACATCTCAGAAAAGGAAGGAAAAAAAGTTGTTCTGTACCCCAATTTCAGCCTGTATTGTAATTGGATTGCAATTTTTTGAAATCTTGCAAAAATATGAAATTACTGGGAAGAGGAATTTGAAATGGAAAGCATAGTGGCTGAACATAAAAAAACTGAATTTTCACTATTTAGGCCCACACAGCTGAATAAAATATCACATTATCTGCTTTGATCTGGGATATATGGCAGTGTGGATTCAGATAATCCAAGACCCTTCCACACAGCCCTATATCCCAGAATATCAAGGCAGAAAATCTCAACTATATCATTTGAACTGGATTATCTGAGTCCACACTCAGATAATGTGGGATTTTCTGCCTTGACATTCTGGGATATAGGGCTTTGTGGAAGGGTCCTGGGTTATCTGAAGCCACACTGCCATATATCCCAGATCAAAGCAGATAATATGGGATTTTATTCAACTGTGTGGAAGGGTCCCCAGTATATTTATATATACAGAAAGACAGACAAATGGCTCATCGATATATATATATATATATATGCACACCTACTTAATCAATAGATTAGTATTATTTTCTATTATATTAATGCTAGCCTTCTTCAAGTTTACAGTATTTTCCTTGGAAGGGGAAAGCAGTGTTTTCTTCTTTCCCTCAGTCTTTTTCTCTTCTTCAGAGGGGGACATCTTCTCCCTTCATTGAGGAAAAGGGTTGCAAATCAAACACAAACGTTTCAAGAGGAGAGGAATCGAGGCAACCAAATGGTTCAGTGACAAAAACAGGGCTCTGTTCAAAAGAAAAGATGAGAAGGAAGCTGAGTGAAAGACCAGGCTCACACCTTGGAGTAGCAATTGATTGCAAGGGAAAGGGGTCTCCCTAGTAGTTTACCCAGCTGCAACTGCAGTTTCAAAAAATCACCCCCACCCCCCAAAAACCCTCCCACTAACAACATCCAAAAGGCCAACATGAAAGAAATGGGTATAATGCTTCAATTCTGGTCATGTTTCCTTTTCTAGAAGCAGCATCACCATGCAAATGATACAAAACTGCAAGAACTGAATTCATCCTTATCACTATTTTGAATGTTGAAGATGTCTTATCCTTTCATTTAAATTTTGACTTTTAAAAAAATCTATTCTTGATTATTTTTTAAGGTAACTGTTCAACTATCTTCCTTGATCCATACTTGTACTGCGGTTGTTTTGCCCTGGGGCTCCCAACTCCTCAGAGGTGGGGGGAAATCAGATTAGGGGAATATTAAATTCGAACACTGCAACATGAATTCAGGTTAGAACAGTTTAAGATGACATGTGTATGTGTAGGCAATATATGGAGATGGTACTACCGCCTGCGTGAAAGGATCTACCCTGATAAAATGTCTCTCAAGTGATTTGAAATCACAGAGTCCACTTTGTTTACCTTGGAAGTCAGTCCCATTAATTCCAGTTAAAGGCTTCCTTGCAAGATAGAGGTGTCCCAAATAAATCTGGCTAAATAGAAAATGAGGGGATTGAGCTAAACATGGAATGCAAAGGATTATTTTGAGGTTTATAATTTCTTTTAGATGTTGGTGAAAAATATGTTGTCCTTGTCTGAAATGTCTATGTAGTGTCTATGGCCCTTTCCACACAGTTGAATAAAATCCCACGTTATCTACTTTGAACTCGAATATATGGTAGTGTGGACTCAGATAATTCAGTTCAAAGCAGATATTGTTGGATTTCCTGCCTTGATATCCTGGAACCCCTTCCATACAGCTGAATAAAATCCCACATTATCTGCTTAGAACTGGAATATATGGCAGTGTGGACTCAGATAATCCAGTTCAATTGTGGGATGTTCTGCCTTGATATTCTGGGGCCCCTTCCACACAGCTGAATAAAATCCCACATTATCTGCTTAGAACTGAAATATATGGCAGTGTGGACTCAGATAATCAAAGTAGATATTGTGGGATTTTCAGCTTTGACATTCTAGATTATATGGCTGTGTGGAAGGGCCCTAAATTACCTAGGTGGGGAAAGTAGTAGGTGCACATACATCTTGAAGGCTCAGGCTGAATGATGTAAAGGAAATTCTGCTGCTCCCTAGTTCTGTGTTTATATCTGCATCTATAGGAGCAATTACTCGATAATGGTACTTAAATGGAAATCATAAGGCTATGGAAAGGAACAACATTGATTGAAAGAAATATATGTTTGCAAAGCAAAGTGTAATAGAATCATTCAACAGACAGACACACACACAAGCAGATGCATCCCTTTTGATATTGATATGTTTGACGAAGGGCCCAAGATCACAAGGCAGGCAGAAATCTGTTAGGAAGCCAGCCTGCCTGCCTGCCAAGCCAACAGCATCTGCTATGCGTTCCCCACCCTCCTCCTCCTCCTCCTCAGTAGCCAGCTATTCATGTCAGGCCGCTTTTCATGGCCAAGATGGATTCATAGGCCGTTCAGTATTATTGTGTGTGCCTTTCTAACCTTTCAGGTCAGCTTCCAAAAGACACCGGCGAAGGCCTCCCCACCACGTGACTTTGAGGGTGCCAATGTCCTTCCATGAGGGGGTCAGCCAGAGCCTGGTAGCAGCGAGCGAGCACCTCGGGGAGCCCGAACCATGCAGAAAACGACCTACTACGACACCTCCACCCTCTTCGGGGGCTACTCCTACCCGGGGGCCAATGGCTTCGGCTACGAAGGGCCCCAGCCTCAGTCTTTCCAGCCTGCGGCCCACGTGGAGAGTGACTACCAGCGGCCGGCCTGCACCCTCCAGTCCCTTGGCAACGCTGCCCCCCTGGCCAAGGCGAAGGACCTGAACGGGAGCTGCATGCGGCCCAGCCTGCCTCAGGAGCACCACCCGCCCCCGCCCATCTCGCCGCCCCCCAACCCCATCGCCCCCAACACCACCAGCAGCAACGGCAGTGGCGGGAGCAGCAATAACCCTAGCCAGCCCGGTGGGGCCAAGAGTGCCTCCAGCAAGGCCGGCCTGGGCTCTGGCAACACYGCCCTCACCAAGCAGATCTTCCCCTGGATGAAAGAGTCGAGGCAAAACTCCAAGCAGAAAAACAGCTCCCCCAGCTCAGGTATCTGCTTTCTCACACATGCAAGGCATACAATGCACCACCAGCCCTGTCCCATCTGCACCCACAACAATACCTCATGAGAAGAAAAACTGGTCTTCAAGTAGGAGAAGCTCATTTTGGACCACAGTTCCTCTTCCACTCTGCTCCTATATCCCTGGATCTGATCTCAAATTATCTTCTTATCCCAGATTATCTGGCAATGGAGACTCAGGGCCCTTCTACACAGTTATATAACCCAGAATAACAAGGCAGAAAATCCCACAATGTCTGCTTTGGAAGGTGCCTCAGGACCCTTTCACACAGCCACATAACCCAGAATATCAAGGCACACTATCTACCTTGGACTGGGTTATCTGAGAGCCCTTCCACACAGCCCTATATCCCAGAATATCAAGGCAGAAAATCCCACAATATCTGCTTTGGAAGAGGCCTCAGGGCCCTGCCACACAGTCACATAACCCAGAATATCAAGGCACACTATCTACCTTGGACTGGGTTATCTGAGAGCCCTTCCACACAGTCTTATATCCCAGAATATCAAGGCAGAAAATCCCACAATATCTGCCTTGGAAAAGGCCTCAGGGCCCTTTCACATAGCCACATAACCCAGAATATCAAGGCACACTATCTACTTTGGACTGGGTTATCTGAAAGCCCTTCCACACAGCTTTCTATCCCAGAATATCAAGACAGAAAATCCCACAATATCTGCTTTGAAAAAGGCCTCAGGGCCCTTTCACATAGCCACATAGCCCTGAATATCAAGGCACACTATCTGCTTTGGACTGGGTTATCTGAGAGCCCTTCCACACAGCCTATATCCCAGAATATCAAGGCAAAAAATCCCACAATATTTGTTTTGAACTGGGTTATTTTGAGTTCACACTCAGATAATGTGGGATTTCCTGCCTTGATATTCTGGGATACGGGGCTGTGTGGAATGGCCCTGAGTGCACATTTCCATATATGATAATGTGGGATTTTATTCAGCTGTGTGGAAGGGGTCTCATAAATTCCAGTTGAAATCAGATAATCTGGGATTAGATCCTGGGATATAGGGCAGCGTAGAAAGGGCCTCCCATAATCTCCCTGGACCATAATTGTCAAGGGCTAGGAGATAATGGGAATTGTGGTCCATAATTGTCAGGCCCTGATCCATGGATAGTAATTTAATTCTGGATTTGTGTTGTGAAATGCTTTTATGACTAAAATCACTGAGTTGCTGTGAGTTTTCCAGGCTGTATGGCCATGTTTCAGAAGCATTCTCTCCTGACATTTAGCCCACATCTATGGCAGGCATCCTCAGAGGTTGTGGGGTCTGTTGGAAACTGCAAGTGAAGCTTACATATCTGTGGGCTGTCCAGGGTGGGAGAAAGAACTCTTGTCTGTTTGAGGCAAGTGTGAATGTTGCAATTGACAATTGCAAATGCTAATCAAGGTGTCCAATTGCAACATTCACACTTGCCTCAAGCAGACAAGAATTCTTTCTCCCACCCTGGACATTCCACAGATATATAAGCCTCACTTGCCTAGTTTCCAACAGACCTCACAACCTCTGAGGATGCCTGTCAAAGATGTGGGCTAAAGCCCAGAAAACTCACAGCAACCCAGTAATTCTGGATTTATTTCCCAACAAGATAAACCAACACTGCAATTCAGGTCCAGCTTTGTCATGGAGAATGAGGCTTACAAACTTATGGTCTGGAACCTAATAAATGTTTGGGTATTCTCATAATGAACACAGTGATATCCTAGTAGGGAAGTCAGAGATTTTCCTCCTCCTGGATCTCTAGATCCACATGTACCAGATTCATCTATAGGAAGAACAGGTAGAGTAGGATGTACCTATACTACAAAACTATAGCAGTTTGATACCCCTACAAAACTATAGCAGTGTAGAAGGGGCCTGAAACTCATGGATAAAATCTGAGATGATACAGGGACCACCCACACCCTGAGTAGTTTTTGATACATGACTAATCAGTCACCTCCAAACCCCTTTATTCCTTCAAGAAAACGGAGGTCTGACTTTATTGTTTCTAGAATGGGACAGAAAATGACAGAAGCAAAAGAAGTTTTTCTGCTCTGTTTCTTCGTTTCCTTTGTCCTTCTGTCACCTAAAAAAACCACTTACTATACCACCACCTTCACTCCCTATTGCCACTCTGTGGGCCATGTTGGGTGAAGGATTCTGGGAGTTGTAGTCTAAAATAAGTCCTGGGTTGGGTTGCTGTGAGTTTTCCGGGCTTTATGGCCATGTTCCAGAAGAATTGTCTCTTAAAGTTTCACCCACAGTCTATGGCAGGCATCCTCAGAGGTTGTTCAATGCTAATCAAGCTATTCAATGCTAATTGTGGTGACCAACTGCAACATTCACACTTCCTTCAAGTAGACAAGAGTTCTCTCTCCCACCTTGGACATTCTACAGATCTATAAACTTCATTTGCCTAGTTTCCAACAGACGTCACAACTCCCATAGATGTGGGTGAAACATCAGGAGTGAATGCTTCTGGAACATGGTCATACAACCTGGAAAACTCACAGCAACCCAGTGATTCAGGCCATGAAATTCTTTAACAAAACAAAGCCCTGAGTTATCTGCTGTGCCCTAGTCCTTACCTTTGGGAAAGTCTCCTCCTATCTTTGTCACCAGGCCACTCTTCATCATACCACTTGAAGTGACATGGCTGTATCCGATCAATATCCGGGATTTGTAGTTTAGTTGGGTAGGTATAATGCTTTAGTGCAATCTCCTAAACAGCCAGACTAGAACTTTTTTTTGCAGAGAATTGTAAGTACTTTGACAAATACCAACATTCCACCTGAGACTGTGGTTCAACCTTACATGGATCACATCTCAACTGAAGGAAACATGTAAGTCAGTGGTTCTCAACCTGGGGTCCCCAGATGTTTTTGGCCTACAACTCCCAGAAATCCCAGCCAGTTTACCAGCTGTTAGGATTTCTGGGAGTTGAAGGCCAAAAACATCTGGGGACCCCAGGTTGAGAACCACTGATGTAAGTTCAGCTGTAGGTTAGAGTAGATTGTAGATCAGTGGTTCTCAACCTGTGGGTTCCCAGGTGTTTTGGCCTACAACTCCCAGAAATTCCAACCAGTTTACCAGCTACTAGGATTTCTGGAAGTTGAAGGCCAAAACATCTGGGGCCCACAGGTTAACAACCACTTCTGTAGACTAACTACTTTAGGCAATGGTTGGGAATATTGTTTTGGAATGCTCTTCATATTCAGAAAATGAAACATTGAATCCTCCTGCAATTATAAGACAGCTGGAGGAGAAAGCTTTTCTGTTCTCTGTTTTGTAGTTGAAAGGTTTACTATTGTTGTTCTTGCCTATCAAAGGAAACATTCAAAAAGGTGAGCCCTGAATGGTATTCTGAATGGATGCAGAATGTAGAGTAGACCTTATTCAAGCCAGATAGTTTGGTTACAGTAAATGGAATTCCTCATTTTGTTGATAGCCCCTCCAAGAGTAAACTCCTTGAATCAAGACAGTTTATGTAAATGTTGACTCCTTCATCCATTCAGTCAATGGGCCTGTTTTAGTTGGGAGCACCGATAGGATTGAGGCCAATCTCTCTCCATCTGTCTCTCACACACTTTCTATCTCTGTGTCTTTTCCATCTGTCAAATGTGTTTTCATCAAAGTCCCAAGATGTATGCTGCACTCCATTTTGTAAACCATTGGTTTAACATGGATGCTCACTAATGACAGGCACAGAGAAACTGATTTCTTGCCCAGAGGAATTGTACTACTGTGACAGCATCTCTGCCTATTATTATGGGCAAAATGGCTTTTGTCCACGTATAACCTAGTAATCTAGCACATATGTTAAAAATAGAGTTATGCATCATATTTAAATCACAAAATGATTAATAATCACAGTTATACATGAGATTAAAGCCTGAAATAGTCACTGGTATCATAATTGATTCTGGACACCTTTTTAAACATAGATTTACAAGAAAGTGTGAAGCCCCTTCTATGCCGCCATATAATCCAGATTATCAAAACAGATAATCCACATTATCTGTTTTAAGTCTACACTACCATATAATCCAGTTCAAAGCAGATAATCTGGATTTTATATGGCAGTGTAGAAGGGGCCTGAGTGGTAAAGTCCTTCACTGGATTGTACGTATAAAGGCCCTTCCACACAGCCATATAACCCATAATATCAAGGCAGAATAATCCACAATATCTGCTTTGAACTCGGTTATCTGAGTCCACACTGCTATATATACCAGTTCAAAGCAGATATTGTGGGATTTTATTCAGCTGTGTGAAAGGGGCCTCGGTGTGCATCTACACTGTAGAATTAATGGAGTTTGACTGCATTTTAACTGTCATGTCTCAATGTTATGGAACCATGGGGAGGCACATGCATTCTTGGGCAGAGAAGGCTAAAGGTCTTGTAAAACTACAACTCCCATGATTCCACAGCAGTGAGCCAGGGCAGGTAAAGTAGTGTAAAACTCCACCAATTATACAGTGTACAATCAGAGCTTGGAGAGCATCATGATGGATAGAGAGTTCTGAGGGGTCCATCCAAAAAAGTAAGCTTTCCAACCTCTGCTCCTTTGAACATGTCTCTGATTTGGGAATATTTTCCTTTGAAATCAGCTGGTCTCTTTTCTAAGACAAAAGAATGTGTTGGCTCGGCTGGGAGAAGGCTTTCATTGTCCATTTTTAATACAAACTGATTTTTGAACACTTGTTCTCATGGAAGGCCAGCAGTGAACCACCTGGCTCCACAGATCACGTCATCCTTCCCTAGTGGTGAAGGATGATATGATCCACCAAGATCTGGAGGGCTACACATCTCTCATCTCTGCTATAAATTGTGTTTAAAATGTGTTGTTTTGTGGGAACTTCTTCATGCAAATCCACAGTTTATTTTATTTGTAAATACATCTTGCATGTATTGCACTGTGCATTAAACTTTGCATGTCAACCCCTTGGCTATCTGGAGCTATTATCCATCTATCCACCCATTCATCTTTATATCAGGCATGGACAAACTTGGGCCCTCCAGGTGTTTTGGACTTCAACTCCCACAATTCCCAACAACCTAGTGGCTGTTAGGAATTGTGGGAATTGGAGTCCCAAAACACCTGGAGGGCTGAAGTTTGCCCATGCCTGGTTTATATGAATCCACAGTGAGTTATGGAAATACCTGGAACACAATTCTGTAAGAAGTTTTCCTGAGCAGGATTCCACTGAAGTGAAAAAGAATGTGAAAAGTAGAACTTTGTATTACCTGGTGCTTCCAGTAACTCCTCTATGTGTGAGTGAATGACAGAGAAGTAGTACATTTACATCTTGGAATGAATACAGTTTGACACCACTGCCATGGCTCATGCTATAGGTTGGGCATGGGCAAACTTAGGCCCTCCAGGTGTTTTGGATTCCAACTCCCACAATTCCTAACAGTCAGTAAGCCGGGTTGTTGTGAGTTTTCCAGGCTCTAAGGCCATGTTCCAGAAGCATTCTCCCCTGACGTTTCATCTATGGCAGGCATCTTCAGAGGTTATGAGGTCTGTTGGAAACTAAGAAAATTGGGTTTTTATATATCTGTGGAATGTTCAGGGTGGAAGAAAGAACTCTTGTCTGTTTTAGATAGGTGTGAATGTTGCAATTGGCCACCTTGATTAGCATTTCATAACCTTGTAGCTTCAAAGCCTGGATGATTGCTGCCTGGGGGATCCTTTGTTGGGAGGTGTTAGCTGGCCTTGACTGATTGTCTGAAATTCCCCAGTGCAACTGTAAAAACATGTGTTTTTAATAAGATATTTTAAATACACCAAGGGAAGAGAACAGGTGGAGATCTATTAACAGAAAAAATTATTAGCAAATACACAGAGCCAGGAAATGGAGAAAGATACTTTATGTTTCCAGGGGGCCTAGCAGTTTCAAGGTCTGGCTTCTTACTGCCTGGGGGAATCCTTTGTTGGGAGGCGATTAGCTGGCCTTGAATGTTTCTTGTCTGGAATTCCCCTGTTTTTCCTACAGGTTGATAGGAATGGTGGGAGCTAAAGTCCAAAACACCTGGAGGGCCGAAGTTAGCCCATGCATGCTATAGAATCATGGGAACAGTGTTTAGTGAAGCACCAGCACTCTTTAACAGTGAAGTCTAAAAGCTTTAAAAATACTACTCCCATGATTGCATTGCATTGAGCCAGGACAGTGCAAGTGGTGTCAAACTGCATTTATTCTGGGTTGTTCTGAGTTTTCCGGGCTGTATGACCATGTTCCCAAAGCATTCTCTCCTGACATTTTGCCTGTATCTATGGCAGGCATTCTCAGACGTTGTGAGGTCTGGTGTCAGGCGCGAACCAATGTATTTGAGAAAACTTGTTTAAAACTTTGGCATTCTATTAAATGCCCTGTGACCAATAGCTGGCCACTTGGAGTGCCTCTGGAGTTGCTATAAGAAGGTCCTCCATTGTGCATGTGGCAGGGTTCAGGCTGCATTGTAATAGGTGGTCTGAGGTTTGCTCTTCTCCACCCTCCACTTAAGGTTGGCTCTGCATCTTGTGGTGCCAGAGCACAGTCTGCTCAGCACCTTCCAAGTTGCCCAGTCTTCTGTGTGCCCAGGAGGGGTCTCTCATTTGGTATCAGCCATGGATTGGGGTGCTGGGTTTTTAGCCTGCCATTTTTGGGCTCTCACTTGCTGAGGTCATGAAAGCCTTTGACAATACATTGCATTGGGTTGTTGTAGCGGGTTTTTTTTGGGCTATATGGCCATGTTCTAGACTAGAGGCATTCTCTTCTGACATTGCAATAGCTGGTCTGGGGTTTGCTCTTCTCCATACTTGCATGTGGTGGACTCCACTTAAGGTTGGCTCTGCATCTCGTGGTGCCAGAGCACAGTCTGTTCAGTGCCTTCCAAGTTGCCCAGTCTTCTGTGTGCCCAGGAGAGATTCTCTCATTTGGTATCAGCCATGGATTGGGGTGCTGGGTTTTTAGCTTGCCACTTTTGGGCAGGCTGGACACACAGTCTTCTGTGTATCCAGGAGGGAGTCTCTCATTTAGTATCAGCCATGGATTGAGGTGCTGGGTTTTTAGCCTGCCACTTTTGGGCTCTCGCTCGCTGAGGTCATGAAAGCCTTTGACAATACATTGCATTTATTCTACAGTGTAGATCAGCGTTTCTCAACCTGGGGGGTCAGGACCCCTGGGGAGGGTCACAAGGGAGTTTCAGAGGAGTCACCAAAGACCATCAGAAAGCACAGTACTTTCTGTTGATCATGGGGCTCCTGTGTGGGATGTTTGGCCTAATTCTATTGTTGGTGGGATTCAGAATGCTCTTTGATTGTAGGTGAACTATAAATTCCAGCAACCACAACTCCCAAATGTCAAGGTCTGTTTTCCCCAAACTCCACCAGTGTTCACATTTGGGCATATTGAGTATCCATGCCAAGTTAGGTCCAGATCCATCATTGTTTGAGTCCACATTTCTATCTCTCGATGTAGGTGAACTACAATTCCAGAAGTCAAGGTCAATACCCACCAAAACCTTCCAGTATTTTATGTTTGTCATGGGAGTTCTGTGTGCCAAGTTTGGTTCACTTCCATCATTGGTGGAGTTCAGAATGTTCTTTGATTGTAGGTGAACTATAAATCCCAGCAACTACAACTCCCAACTGACAATATTGGGTTGTCATGAATGAAAATACATTCTGCATATCGAACATTTACATTACGATTCATAACAGTAGCAAAATTACAGTTATGAAGTAGCAATGAAAATAATTTTATGGTTGGGAGGCATTAGGAAGGTTGAGAACCAACTGTGTAGATGCAGTCCCAGACAGGTCCTTTATTTACTGGCAATAACCTACTGGATATTCAGATCTGCATTTTGCACGCACACACATGTCCAGCCATGCTCTTTGCAGGATATCGAAATTACTGACAGCCCAGGCCTGTATATGTGTGTGTGTCTGTGTGTGTGTACACCAGGGCCTGATTAATTTCGCTTTCCAAACACTGCCCACTTGCCAGACGTAATTTCCTTTGAAAGGGTCTGTTTCAAAATAATCGACTCCCAAATAAATAGCCCTGGATTCCTTTTTCTGCATGACATGATCAAATTTTCATAAAGCGAGGGGGCAGCTTCGGAGAACAGAACTCTTAATAAATGACATGATTATGGAGTGAGGACTGGAGGAGAAGGGGGGGAGGCTCAGAGGAGGAGGCTGAAGTCTTCTCGCCTGTTGGAGGATTTATTAAGAGGCCTGCGCATTCAATTTTCTGCATGTAAGTAATTATCTTTGATTTCATTTCCCGACCTTCCCTTTCTCTCTCTCTCTCTCTTTGCCTTTCCAGAAAGCTGCAGCGGCGAGAAAAGCCCCCCGGGCTCTTCCTCCTCCTCCTCTTCGTCGTCGGCGTCCAAGCGGGCCCGCACCGCTTACACCAGCGCCCAACTGGTCGAACTGGAGAAGGAGTTCCACTTCAACCGCTACCTGTGCAGGCCCCGGCGGGTGGAGATGGCCAACCTCTTGAACCTCAGCGAGCGGCAGATCAAGATCTGGTTCCAGAACCGGAGGATGAAGTACAAGAAGGATCAGAAGTCCAAAGGCTTGGGGTCTTCTTCCGGAGGTCCCTCCCCAACCGGGAGCCCCCCACAAGCCATGCAGTCCACCGCCGGCTTCCTCAACGTCCTGCACCCCATGACTTCCAACTACGACGCCCCGTCGCCGCCCTCCTTCAACAAAGCCCACCAGAATGCCTACGCCATGCCCACGGCCTACCAAAACCCCCTCAAAGGCTGCCCGGCCCCGCAGAAGTATGCCAACGCCACCCCCGAGTACGACCCCCACATCTTACAGGGTAACGGGGGAGGGGGCGGCGGGGCGGGAGGGGGCGGCTACGGGCCCCCCAACCTCCAAGGCAGCCCCGTGTACGTGGGCGGCAACTACGTGGACTCCCTGCCCAACTCGGGGCCCTCGCTGTACGGGCTGAACCCCCTCCAGCACCACCAGCCCCCCAGCATGGAGTACAACGGGGGCCCTCCCATGGGCCCCAACCAGCACCACGGACCCTGCGAGTCCCACCCGACCTACACAGACCTTTCCACCCACCACGCTTCTGCTCAGGGTAGAATTCAAGAGGCGCCCAAGTTGACCCATCTGTGATGCGGGGCAGGACAGACTCCAGCGGGGCTTGCGGGGAGGAGGGTTTGGGAGGAGAGAGATGGGCCAATGGGGTGGGCATTGGTTGGTTAGGGTCCTTTGGTGGGTGGTTTGGCTGGTTGTGTTGACGTGTTGGTGGGATCTTCCTTTGAAAGCCACAGTGGCAACATTTGTGTTGAAACGCCTTTAAATATCCTTCAGACGAGCTCCTTCTTCCCACTCACAGCCCCCCCCCCCAATGTGTTGAGGTGCGATGACTCTCAGGCTGGATCTACACAACCCTATATCCCAGGATTTGATCCAGTAATGGCTGAGCAGGTTAAGCAGGTTAAACCGCTGTGCTGCTGAATTTGCTGAAAAGGGTTGGCGGAGCGAGCTGAGCTCCTGCTGTTAGGCCCAGCTTCTGCCAACCTAGCAGTTTAAAAACATGCAAATGTGAGTAGATCAATAGGTACTGCTTCTGGGGGAAGGTATGGGCTTTCCATGCAGTCATGTGAGCACCAACCCTCAGAGTGGGACAGGAAAGTATAGACTCAGGCTCCTTCTACACTGCCAAATAATCCAGATTATCAAAGCAAATAATCTACATTATATGTTTTGAACTTGATTATATGAATTATACTGCCATATATCCAGGCCCCTTCCACACAGCTGAATAAAATCCCACATTGTCTGCTTTGAACTGGGATATATGGCAGTGTGGACTCAGATAACTCAGTTCAAAGTGGTATTTTCTGCCTTGGGTTATATGGCTGTGTGGAAGGGCCCCAGTTCAAAGCAGATAATCTGGATTGTATATGTCAGTATAGAAAGGACCTCAGGCTGAATTTGCACTGTCCTGTATCCGAGGATCTGATCTCAGATTATCTGTTTGTTCCAGACTATCTGGCAGTGTAGATTCCTACAATCCAGTTTTAAGCAGATAATCTGGGATCAGATCCTGAGATATAGGGCATGGTAAATCCAGTTTATATCATCCAGTTCAGATCAGATAATCTGGGATGAGATCCTGGGATATAGGGTAGTGTAGATCTACCCCAGATAGCATGCCAGTCTGCCTGGGGATATTGGGAGATGTTGTCCACCATGTTTCAGGAGGTGAGTGGAGAAGGCTGCCCCATTTTTGAAAACACCAATGCTACCTGGATCAAATCCTTTTGTTTTTTGCTGTTCACCACTTATCCCCCCTCCCCACATCTCCCCTTATACCAGCAGAAAAGAATAGATATAGAGATGAGGGTAAGGCTTGACTAGAAAGCCTTTCTGCTAATCCCAGACCCTGGAAATGAGAGGACATTTTGCCTTTCCTCCACAGGGAAAACCTAATGCCCTCTGCACATGCTCACAGCACAATTCCATTTCTATGTTTCACAGTGGACTCCTGATATTCATACATTACTCGTGGCTGGTCCCTCGAGAACCCTGATTAAAAATAACCCAGTATGATCCGGATGACCAAAATTTGGGATCATTTGCCCCTGGCCATCTCCAGGGCTTAAAAGAAGCCTAATCCAGTTTTAGTTTCAGTTAATGTCTTAAACAGAATATGTGAAGCATGGAAGTCATTATTATTATTATTATTATTATTATTATTATTATTATTATTATGCCATATCTCCATGTTGTGCAGTTCTGGGAGTCATAGTTTTCCAAGGTACATACCCTTCTCTTGGAGCATTTACAGTATGGAATGAATGCACCCCACTTTAAATACCATGGCTCCATGAGATGGGGTCCTCCTGGGAGTTATAGTTTTTCAAAGTCCATACCCTTCTCTTGGTGCATTTACACTATGGAGTGAATGGCCTTGCACCCCACTTTAAATACCATGGCTCCATGAGATGGGATCCTCCTGGGAGTTATAGTTTTTCAAAGTCCATACCCTTCTCTTGGTACATTTACACTATGGAATGAATGCTCTTGGACCCCACTTGTCCTTCTTTTTTATTGTTATGTTAAAGTCTTATTACCTGACATGTAATCTTAAATCCAATTCCCAGAAAATCATATAAATAATTTCTGGCTACAATCCCAATATAGAACAAAAGGAGAGACAGCTGTGATAGGAATTCTAGTCTGTACCATTTCAGATTTGTGATGTGTGAGAGACATTATTATTTAGGAAAATCAGATCTAAATCCAGAATGTGGAATAGTAGCATCTAAGTATGCAGACAAGCATGGTAGTTCTGTTACATGCAGGGAGCATGTATTTCAGAAAGAAAGATAGGGCAGATCCCAACAGACTGTCAAAAGTGATAAAACTAAAAAACAACAACAAAAAAAAAAACCACCTCATTCTCCTGGACCTAGTAAATCTTGTGTTAATGACTCTTAGCTAGAAAGCAATTCCACTGAGAACAGCCAGACTTCCAAGTTTTGTTTTTCCTTCTGCTTTGTTTCAAAGGGCACTTCCACACAGCCCTATATCCCAGAATATCAAGGCAGAAGATACCACAATATCTGCTTTGAATTGGGTTATCTGAGTCCACACTTAGATAATGTGGGATTTTTTGCCTTGATTTTCTGGGATATAGGGTTGTGTGGAAGGGGCCAAAGTTGCCCCCCCCCCCATCACAGCAGCCCAGAGAGTATTGTAGAGCTTCATGGTCAGGACAGCCACCAGTGATTTGGATATCACTCTTACCATAGAAATAGCAAAGGACTAATGCATTCTTTACACTTATTATGCATCATTGTTCAGATCTCAAGTTCACAGGTTGATGTCTGTTATTTCTAGCCAAAATATTATATGGCCTACAAGAACCACAAAGTGGTAAAACCAAGTGTGGATAAAACCCGGAATCCCAGACATATATATCCTAGGAGCAAGTCTAATTGAAAGCAATGGGATTGACTGCTCACAGTGCTCAGTAGACCTAGATAAAATACCAGTGTTTTACAGACATGCCTGAGGGTGCATCTCCACTGTAGAGTTAAAGTGGTTTGACCCCACTTTAACTGCCATGCCTCAATGCTATGAAAACATGGGAGTTGCAGTGCTGCAAGAACTGTAGCCTTCTCTGACAAAGGGGCTTTCCAGACAGGTCCTGTATCTCAGGATCTCCTCTCAGGTTTTCTGCTTTAAACTGGATTACACGAATCCACACTGCGAGATAATCTGGGATAAAAAAAACTGGGATCAGATTCTGAGATATAGGGCTTGTCTGGAATAGCCCAAAGAGTGTTGGTGTCTCACCAAAGTACAGCCATCATGATCCCATAGCATTGCACCATGGTAGTTAAAAGTGGGCCCAAACTGCTTTAATTGTACAGTGCAGACGCACCTCAAGTTAATTTCTCACAGCCTTCAGACTTCTTATTTGAGACTGAGAAATAGGAGAACTTTTGACATTTGGTGATGGCTCTTCCATACTGCCCCAAGTCTAAATACAAGTCATTTCTCCAATGGGATGCATGCTAAGAAATAGAATGTTTACAATCCTAGAAGGCTACCTAGATGTTTAGAGACAATCAGGTTCTCACACATAGATGTTGGCCACAATATGATGGAGTCCTTTGTTTAAAAGATCAATCCTTCCCATTTTCCTCATCCAAGTCCAGTTTGCCTACAACAGGGAACACAAAGGAAGGAGGGAAGCATATAGGGCTTCGAAATAAATTTCAGCTCCTTCTAAAATCCCTTTTGATAGTCTGACAAATGAGTTAACTATTAATTCATGACCAATCAATCACATACAAATTTGCATTTGATCCCTTTCTCTTTGGGCTCTTCCAGACAGGCCCTATATCCCAGGTTTTCTGTTTATCCCAGATTATCTGGCAGTGGGGACTGTTATAATCCAGTTTAAAACAGAAAACCTGGGATCAGATCCTGGGATACAGGGCCTATCTGGAAGGGCCCTTTGTTCTGGTGTTTCTGCACAAATGTTTTGAAGGTTTAACAATTGTTTATTTTTCTTTGAAACTGGAGGAACCCAACAACATTAATATCCAGGTATTGTTTTGTTTAAGGGGAGGGGGATATGAAAATATAAATAATGCACTCCAGACTATGAACAGAGGTCCTGAAATGAATCCAGTATTAAGTGTTAGCCCAAGCTCAAATCTGAACCAGTTTTTTTCCAGACTCCAAAGGTATCATTTTTAAAGATATTTGAGTAGAGGGAGGAAAACTGAAATCAGGGCATCTTTCAGGAGTGGTTTAGCTATATGATCCTCCATGGGGCAGGTATTGGGCTACATTGACCATTGACCTTTGAGGTCCAACTAAGATAATAGGTTTTGCCATGAAATCATGTGGTTTCCTCTCCACCCCATGCCTGTTATCTGAAAATACATAAATTTGGTGACTGTATAGTCTCCAAGCCAAGCCCCGCTCAAATGTCATGCCATTTCTTATTTTCTTTTTCCCCAAGAATTTTAATTTCTTCAGGAAAATTGGAGTTCTTCTGTTTTAAAATGATTTAAAGGAACCAGGGTCCACCATTAAGATACAAAAACCATATGAGACACCCCTTCCTCCTCTTGAAGTGACTGCCTCACCTATATATATATATATAGGTTCCTTTGGGGGACTCTCAAGTCCAAGGCTTCTTGAGTTTCTTTGCAACTCTTCTTCTCTTGAACGTGGAAACAGGGTATATTTGAACAGAAACTGTGATGTCTTTCCAAACAGAAGCGGAAGTGAATGGCCCTTTTGGAGAGACACAGGGCCAGATTGACTGACCGCCTCTTTTTGGGCCTGACATCCTTCTTGCACTTAGAGTTTACATTTAATGGGTATATATACCAACTTTTGAAGGTCAGCCCATTGGAGAAGTCTTTCAATGGGAGCGTGCTGTGTTCCGGTGAACATTCATATATATAAAAATCTCTATATATATTATATATTTATTGGTTATAGCCAGTTTTAAACTATTTTTTCTTTTGTTGGTTATTTTTTTGTATTATTTATCCCAACATATATGTATTTATAAGGGGGAAAATGTACTTTTTTAGTATTTACTTGTTATAAAGGAATATGGTGTTTTCGCTTTGTCATTGTACAACCAGCTTTACTTTTTTCTTTTCCTCTTTTCCTTTCTTTTTTTAGTTATTGTAATTTAGGGGGAAATCCAGTAGTTACCTTTGTATTTAAAATGATGTGTTTAGTTCTACTGGAGGCATGAACTCAGAACCAGGGTGTAATTGTATAGTCCTCAGTTAGAAGAACTAGTGAAATCCTTCCCCACCCCTAACACCCCTTTTCTTCTCCCCTTCCTCCTCTTACCACCACTTCCTTCTCTCTTCCTCCTCCTCTTTTCTTTTCCTTGTTTTGGGAAGCAACTTTCTTTGCTCTTTAACAG